AGTGGGGCCTCCCTGCCCAGAGCTGGCTCTGAATCTGGGGTGGACACGCTCCTCCCACACAGCGTCCCTCCGTCGTCCCCCCCTGGGGGCCACAGTGTGTTTTCTAAACCACCAGCCTCAGTCCTCTCTTAAGTCCCATTGCCATGAGTCCCCCGCTCATCCTGGGTTGGTGGCTTCCTGGCCCTTCCTGGCCCTGGCCCTCTTGTCTAGAATCCCTTCATCTGCCTCCTCCATGACCCCAGACCCATGCGCAACCTGACGATGCTCCCCCCAGCTTAGTAGGCTCTCTTAAGTCTCCACGCCTTGGCCCAAGCCAGTCGCTCTGCCCAGAAGTTCCAACCCGCCTTCATCCAAGCTGTGAACTTCTAGCCGCCCGTGCTGCTGTCCTTCCCTGATGAAGACTTTCTGACTTCCTTCCTTCGCCTACCCAAGCTGCGTGTCCTCTTAGCCCCTGTGAGCCACCCACACAGCACCCTGGGGTGGTATAGGTGCTCCAAGCTCCTCCAAGACTGGGGTCTTATTATCTTTGTTCTCCTGGGCCTGGCACGGGGCTTGGCCCCTCGCGATGGAGTGGGCTGGGTGACAGCTTTCTTAATAGCAAAGCACGGTGCCGTTCACCCAACCCAGCCCTCATCCCAGACCAGGCGCCTGGGCATGTGGGCCTGAGGGGAGCAAACCCTAGACAGGACCTGTCTCTACAGGTGAGTGGAGGCGGTGCCTTCTTGGGCCCATGGAGTCAGGCTAAGCTAAGCACAGGCTTGGAGGCCTGGAGGCCTCCCTGGGGCCACTTACTGGAGATGTGGCCTTGAGTGAGCCACTTGCCCTCTCTAGGTCTGTTTCCATGACGACAAACTAGGGAGAACAGGGCTTGCTCCTGACATCACTGTGAGGAACCCACAGCATGACAAGTGCAGCACACATTCTCGGGCATCTACTGGGTGTCGGGCACTGAGGATGTGGAGGTGCAAGCTCTGCCCGAGGAGCCTGTGTGCCGGGGATGATGCCAGCGAGTCCTGCCTGCTGGTGTAGGCTGAGGGTTTCGCATGCCTCTACATACAGTGACTTGTTCCCTTCCCATGGCAGTTCCACGAAGTGGGTGGGCTCACCGTTCCCATTTTACAGACGATAACACTGAGGCACAGAGGCCTAAAACTTCCCCATGCTGCTGAGGAGTTGAATGCATGTAGGGAGTTGGCCCAGTGCAACTTAACTGGGCACCACTTCCCTCTCATTCCGGCATCGGGCTGGGGCTCCCTTCTCTCCCAGGGCCTTCCATTCTGGGCGGGCAGAGGGGCAGTCTCTCCAGGTGCCCCAAGGAGACAGGGATCCGTGAATGTTCCCAATCCTCAGTGCCTGTGAAAGTATTCATTCCTCCAGGGCCTCAAGACTCACTCAAGGCCACATCTCCAGTAAGTGGCCCCAGGGAGGCCTCCAGGCCTCACAACCAACGCCCGGGGCAAGCACCCCTATGACCTGCCCCAGGTCCTGCCTAAGGGCGAGGCTGTTGGCCTGCAGATGGGGGTAGGTAAGCAGGTTACTTAGTCCTTGTCCCCTCCTCTCCTTCTCACCACCTGACTGTCCGCCCGTCCCTGGAGGGTCACCGAATTCCAGAGTCAGCATCCACTCAGGCAAGGCGGCGTCTGTCCCAGAATCACCTTGACATTTTTGCCTCTCAGGGGCGGCGGACGGCAGACAGGAGCAGGAATGGCTGTGGAGGCAGAGAGAGGGTCCAGAGGGGCAGGCAGAGGTGTTAGAGCCCGGGCAGCCGCCCAGGCCGCCGCCCAGGCCTCACCCCGAGCCTCTCCATGTGACTCCCTTCCCTCCCCCTGCTGCCTCCCAGCTATTTTTGGAACTGCCCACTCATACCCTTGTCTGCCTTGAGGTAGCACTGACTGCACCTGCATCCCAGGCCCACCGAGGCCTGCCTTCCTTAGTGGGAATGCTACAGCCAGTTCTCCCTCTGATCCGCCCCCTCCACCCCATTCAGGGGGGCCAGGGACTGTCCTAGAAGCCAGCTGAAAGTCCCCAGAAGGCCTCTTCTCTAGGCCACCAGGACCTCCCCACCTCAGAGAAGTCTGGCTTGCAATCTGCTGCGGGACCACGAGGTGTCTTCCATCTGGTGAGGCCTAGGGTAAGCCGTGATATCACAGGGTCTCTAAGCTTTTCATCTTGGAATTTTTAAAAAATGCATACAGAATAATGAGTCCCCATGTATCTTTTTTTTTTTGAGTCAGGGCCTCCCTCTGTCACCCAGGCTGGAATGCAATGATGTGATCATGGCTCACAGCAGCCTTGACCTCCTGAGCTCAAGCCATCCTCCTGCCTCAGCCTCCCAAGTAGCTGGGACTACAGTCATGTGCCACCACACCTGGCTAATTTTATTTTTGTAAAGATGGGGTCTCACTATGTTGCCCAGGCTGGTCTTGAACTCCTGGCCTCAAGCAATCCTCTAACCTCAGCCTCCCAAAATGCTGGCATTACAGGTGTGAGCCACTACACCCAGCTCCCCATGTGTCCTTGACCCAGCTTCAACAATTTTCAACTCACATGCAATCTAGTTTCACCCATACCCCTCCAAATCGCCCCCTCCCATTTAATTTCTCTTTATTGCCTATCTTTCTTTCTTTCTTTTTTTTTTTTTTTTGAGTTGAAGTCTCACTCTGTCGCCCAGACTG